ATCCAATCTATCACCAAATCCTGTCACTTCCATCTCCTAAACATAACGCACATCTGCCCCTATTTAACACCGGATGCGGCTAAGGTGCTGATCCATGCTGTTGTTCTCTCTCACCTTAACTACTGCAATCCCCTTCTCAGTGGTCTTACGTGTTCCCAGATTGCTCCGCTGCAATCAATAATGAATGCGGCGGCGAGGCTCATTTTCCTGTCAGCTCGCACCTCCCACACCAGTTAGATATAGGGCTCAATTAAAATTCATAATGCTGCTCCAACCTACCTATACTCCCTAATACACAAGTATGTCCCGTTGAGGCCCCTACGCACTGCCAAAGATCTATGTGTGACGAAAGTGACCTTGCCCCTGTTTTTTGGAGGGGCCTGTTTGCCAGCCTCCTGCCCTGTGACTATGGCCCTGGGATGTATTGCCCTTTAAGAAACTGATTTGGGCATATTGTATTTTATTATGCTGCTGCTGGCCCTTTAAGATCCATCTGTGGAGTTACTGGGTGGCCACCATTTCATGTATCAGAGGCACATGGTGAGAACAATGGATGAAGCACATGGTGAGAACAATAGATGGCGGCCATTTTAACTCACAGACACTGTTTGGACTTTTCTACACGGTGCCATTTTGCCGGTATTTGGTGCACAAAGACATTGTGCAGTAGTTTTAAACTACAGAACAGGGGACACATTTAACAGTAATTATTTTTCATATAGCCTGTATATGTTCTGCGGAATCTGCATTAAACTGTATCTTCCAAACTACTGAACGGATCTGGGTGAATTTAGGATATGTGGTTCACCCAGATCCCCCGGTTCCGAGGATATACTTTTATTGGGTTATTGCATGTTTTGGGGTCCCTGTGATATGTTTTATAATACTGTATTTTCCTGCCTGTGATAATTAAGTTAGTCTATTGTGTTCAGATAATTGTATCACAGGCAGAGGGGAGGATTTCTGATGTAATGAATGGGAGTGTTAGCTGTGTTGTAATGTGTTGATTGGTTGTTCTTCAAAACCCTGTGGGCAGTACTATGTTTGTAGAATGTGAATAAAAGAGGCTGTATGTGCCAGTACAGTCAGTTCTTCTTCACCCTCAATCTAGAGTCCTGTCTCTTATTGGGGGAATTGCTATAGCTCTACAAGGGATTGCTATGCTCTGAATACTCCCTTAGCTAATCACTACTAAGTTCTTTTAAGAGCTTGTTCCTGCTTAACTCTATTGGAGGAGAGGTTCACCCATTGGAACCTGGAGCCTTGTCGTAGGTCCAGGGTGGGTAGGAGACGGCGAGCTACGGCGGTTAGTGGGGTCTGCCGTGGTTGTGGTGTCTGAGGAGCGCTTGGAGCCCTCTGTAAGCGCTAGGAGCATCCTTCAACGGAGGTACCCAGTCGGGGTGCCAGGTGATCCATTACACTATGTCTATCCTCTGTCCATACTCCCACCTCTGATGCTCGCCTCAAAGATTTCTCCAGGGCTGCACCTCTTCTGTGGAACTCCCTTCTCCGTTAGACTTTCACCCAGTCTCCACTCATTCAAAAAATCATTGAAAACTCACTTCTTCAAGAAAGCATATCAATTAAACTGTTAGCAGGTTTTCATCCCCCACCCTCCATGACTCCTCTCCTGTAACTTTCAAAAATTACCTACTAAGCCCTCAAGGAATACTTTTCTAACAACCTACTTCGTACCCCTACTTTTACCCTTTGTGTCACTATACCCCACTCCTTCTAGAATGTAAGCTCATTGAGCAGGGCCCTCCAGCTCTCTGTTCCTGTACATCGGAATCTGATGGCGCTATATAAATAATAAAATAATAATAAAGTGAAAGAAACAATAGAATCCTTCAGACTTAATTTGAGGACCTTGAAAATGAGTTTTAGATTTTTTTCTGTTATATTCTGGCTGTTGTGGCTTACATTTTGAATTTCACTGATTGGTTGAGTTTTTAGTTTTAAAAATGTATCCAGACGAGCCCTTTTTATATTGATTACACGTATAGACTTTGAAGTTCCTTAAGCTTCCTAAAATAAGTTAGTTTAATTTTCATTCGATAGAAGAAATGCCATAAGTTAGCCACCCTGAGCCCAACCACATGTCATACTGTAAATCCTTTACGATGAGCGGCATCATCGTCATCATCATCATCATCATCGTCGTCATCATCGTCATCATCATCATCATCGTCGTCATCATACTATGATGGTCTAATCGGAAAATCTCAGCATCTAAAATGTTCAAGCATCATTTCCCATCTCTTATCTGTGTTGTTATGTTGCTACTAAAGCTTTTCCTCTTGCCTTATTGTAACGTAGCTATTACATCGACCTTCTCCTGTCTCTCCTCAATGTTTTGCATATTAGCAATAGATTTGAACTAAATTATGCAAAATAAATATTTACTTAACTGCTGACCACACTTAATAATCACAGAGATGTTTGGTTGTTTTTTAAGGCCACTGTGAATGAGAAGTTATGGTGGATTAATATTGGCCATATTTTCCACCCCTATTGTCACCAAAGTATTTAAATACTAATGTGAGAATTCAAAGTGAATTTCAAATTTAAAGGAACACTCCAGGAACCACAACAACTTTATTGAAATGAAGCTTTTATAGTAACAGGACATGGAGCTGTGCTCTAAACATCTGTTAAACAGAGGCCCTGTATTGCCGCCGGCAGGGGTGCCACTGATTGGCTTAGACTGCCAGCTGTCTGTTCAAAGTCAGTCAACAGTTTTCGAGAATATGGGGGGCTGGGCTATAGGAAAATATCACATGGCAAGCCAGGGCCGAAAGATACGACAAAACAAATTTTATTTAGTACCAGAAAGATGAACAGACAGACATGGATAGCCAGTCACAGAGCTACGTAAAAGCTTGCTCTTTTATATATATTTTAATAAAGCTTGGTTTGCTTTGAGTGTGCTATGAATATTTAGTCCAGTGTCAGGATGTATACGATATATTTCAGAATATTTCATATCAGCGTTTATAAATACTGCTTGATCCAATAACTGGCATGAATATCGAAGGTTGTAGAATAGTCAATAACGTGGGTTAGATAATAGCCATGTTAGATTGAAACGGACAGAAGAGACGTTTCCCGAGGCACTATGCCATTTAGCAATGTAAATATTAGTGGATTTATGTTTTTACTTTTTAAGCCAACTGCCAAGAAAAAGTTCATATAAAAAGGTTTATATTTTTTATTTTTTGATAAGATGTTCTTAGAATCGTGATTCTTTCTAAGAATTCTTGATGTAGGAAATTTTCCCTCTTCCTAGTGATTACTTACATTAAATGTCAGTCTCCGGAGCGTTTCAAGGTATGCTGTGTGGAGGCTACTGTGCGGTTTGGGCAGATTCACTCTGTATTTGCAGTTCTATGTAATCTTCAATCACGGGAATGGATGGAAAGTTTAGTAATAAGGTAGCATGATAAACAAGGTTTAAACTTTATTGAAGCAAAAATAAATATGTGCTGATACATATTTGCAAAATGTCAATCACAAGATAAAGTTACATTAAATACATGGTTAAACATCACATCTAGTGGAAATATAGGTACAAACAATACATACATTTGTATTAAAGAACAACATTGAACTCCAGTTTTGGTGTCTGTGCATGGATTGCCAATGTAAATATTAAGTTGATTCTGAAAGGGAGGGATAAGGATGTGGCCAGGAAGGAAAGTGAAGGAGAGGAGGGAAAAAACAAAAAGTTGGGAACGTCCTTCCTCCACTCTATTGATCCAGTTACTGGTTATGGACAGAACTCCGGCGGCATTGACCAAGAATGGGAGCACAGATTTACGGTAGAATCTGACTGCTAGTTGGGAGTGATGTAAAAGTACATTTCCAACAATGATATGGGCTCGTCTGTTAGATTTGAGATAATTATGTGTAAATGTTTCCAGTAGGGACGTATTGGAAGGCACTCCCACCAAATATGAAATAGGGTTCCATGCTCCTTCCCGCATCTTCAACATTCAGAATCTTGGTCATTTGTGTTCCTGGCTAATCTATCAGGAGTTTTGTAACAATGTGTGAGAAGTTTAAAACCGGATTCTTGGAATGTGGTGATGATAGATGTTTTATGCGTTGGCATGAATATTTCAGACCATTCTTCCAGTGTAAATAGATGTTTGATGTCATCTTCTCAATATTTAGTCTAGTACAAGAGAGGTGCGTCTTGTGATGGGGAGTTCACGTCCATCTATAGGAGTGAAGTAGCATGGGGGTGGTGGATTAATCTGCAAGCATAGTGATTCACAGTAAGTTGAAGGGTCAATGGAAGCCGGCGGTGTTGGAAATTAAAGAGCTGAAGGAAGTGGAATTGAACCTGTAGTTGAAGAGTTTGGTGGAAATTCAGGTCAGCCATTGTGCTAAGGTGGTCGTTCTCTCAGGCGAAGGGTGTATGGGAGGCCCAGTGAAGAGATTAATTGTTTGAATGTGGCCAGGTGTTTTAGGTGATAGCTAAGAGGGGTAACAGAGGTGGGGAGAGGCCAACTGTTCCAGATTGCCATAGTTTTTGGCATTGTTGGGTGGGGTCTTTTTTAAGGTTTATGTAGATTGAGCGGTTGCTGGGGCATCGGTGAAGTTATTTTTGTGTGGTATTCGGGGGAGCAATATTCCACTCAATTATCCATTGAAGGTGAGTTACCTTATGATATGTTGTTAAACTGGGTGTAACGGCTACCCAGCTGGTAAGGGGGTATCTGCCGTTGGAGACGTCCTTTTCCTGGCAAGCTGCTGTGTAGTAATGGAGTTCTTATTCCCATCCACGAGATCCAAGGGTAGAGTCATGCATAACTGTAAAATGGAGCAGAGTAACTGTACAATAAATCCCCTCCAAGAACGAGACGAGGCTACGTTTTGAAGGGTCAAGCAGAACTTATGTTTATTGACAGGGGTCTCCTTTTATGCAAAGCTGCCCTAGAAAGGGCTACACCTTCATAATTAACACAATACCCAATCACAAACATGGCACAACCCCCACGTCTCATCCCCTCAGATAAACATTTAATATAATTATAACACACACAATTTTACCCAAGTTCTGGAGGTACCCCAAAACCAGGGGGTACACCCTTAAATCCAGTATCCAGGGGAACAACATATCAAAAATCCAGCCCATTCGGTTAAAGCGTTCGGGAGTTATGGGTCTTTGAAGTTTTGACCGACCGCACAGACTTTCTAGCTGAAAATAGTTCCACAGGTTTTGGCCTTGCGATAGGTCCCCGTTCGTGCATTGAAAACCCACAAAAATCTTGCCATCCACAGCTATCTTGCCGTTTGCCGGAATCCCCATGCATTGTTTAGTCTTTCTACCGAACGGCCGGCTGTTCGGTAGTTTCAGCACGAATCTACGTTGTCACGGAGGTCTCAGCGGTGTTCGCCTGTTTGCGTATCCCTTTTTAGTTCCACATGATTGATGGCAAAACACCGCTGTTCGTGCGTAAGATGGCCGCGAACACGTGCAGTCCCGAAATGGCGGCCACCTATACTTTACACAAAGGATTCGTGCTGAACCATGAGAACGGATGCGCCGGTCTGGGAGGTAAAATACCCCTTAACTTCACTTCAGGGTGGTCCGGTGTTCGGTAGTTTGGATTCATTTTTGGGCAATAGCAATTCGCATAAAACAGGCAAGTCGGTTCTTTTGTATATCCCGGTTATGTATTGTTAAAGGAGTCCAGGCAGAAATTGTAGTAATCCCAGACCTCCCCTGGTTCGGATCTTATTAGACTATTGTATCTCATGCGAGCCTTACGGTTGTGCCATACATACTCCAGAAAACTCTGATGAAGTTATCTGAAAAAGAAGTTAGAAGAAAGTGTAAGAAGTGTGGGTGAGTATTCATTTCATGACAGTGATCCAAAAGATATGCAGGAGAGACCAGTTCGGCAAGTCCTGTCTGACTCGTTCTAGAAGCGGAGGGAAAGTTAATGTGAACGTCTGTGAAAGATCAGCAGGAATCATAGTGCCCAAGTATTGTATCGCTCTGTTACACCATCCAGGTTCACATATTTTTAAATAACATTTGAAATAATATTACAAGATTGTCTCTCCTCACTAAACAAGGGGTGTCAACTACCCCATTATAAAGAAAAGTGTTTGAGATGGCTGAATCTAACAGCAATATACGTATATAGTAATCAAACATACAGCAATATGCAGTGTGCAGCTGTATCACAGAGCTCCACAGCAGTACAACTCTCAGCAATATGCAGTGTGTAATTGTATCACAGAGCTCCACAGCAATAAAACTCTCAGCAATATGCAGTGCGTAATTGTATCACAGAGCTTCGCAGCAATAAAACTCTCAGCAATATGCAGTGTGCAACTGTATCACAGAGCTTCGCAGCAATAAAACTCTCAGCAATATGCAGTGTGCAACTGTATCACAGAGCTCCGCAGCAATAAAACTCTCAGCAATATGTAGTGCGTAATTGTATCACAGAGCTCCACAGCAATACATCTCTCAGCAATATGCAGTGTGTAAATGTATCACAGAGCTCCACATTAATAAAACTCTCAGCAATATGCAGTGTGTAATTGTATCACAGAGCTTCGAAGCAATAAAACTCTCAGCAATATGCAGTGTGCAGTGCAACTGTATCACAGAGCTCGACATTAATAAAGCTCTCAGCAATATGCAGTGCGTAATTGTATCACAGAGCTTCGCAGCAATAAAACTCTCAGCAATATGCAGTGTGCAACTGTATCACAGAGCTTCGCAGCAATAAAACTCTCAGCAATATGCAGTGTGCAACTGTATCACAGAGCTCCGCAGCAATAAAACTCTCAGCAATATGTAGTGCGTAATTGTATCACAGAGCTCCGCAGCAATAAAACTCTCAGCAATATGTAGTGCGTAATTGTATCACAGAGCTCCACAGCAATACATCTCTCAGCAATATGCAGTGTGTAAATGTATCACAGAGCTCCACATTAATAAAACTCTCAGCAATATGCAGTGTGTAACTGTATCACAGAGCTTCACAGCAATAAAACTCTCAGCAATATGCAGTGTGTAATTGTATCACAGAGCTTCGAAGCAATAAAACTCTCAGCAATATGCAGTGTGCAACTGTATCACAGAGCTCCACATTAATAAAGCTCTCAGCAATATGCAGTGTGTAACTGTATCACAGAGCTTCACAGCAAAAAAACTCTCAGCAATATGCAGTGTGTAACTGTATCACAGAGCTTCGCAGCAATAAAACTCTCAGCAATATGCAGTGTGTAACTGTATCACAGAGCTTCACATTAATAAAACTCGCAGTAATATGCAATGTGTGACTGTATCACAGAGCTCCACATTAATAAAACTCGCAGTAATATGCAATGTGTGACTGTATCACAGAGCTTCACATTAATAAATCTCACAGTAATGTACCATGGTATGTAAGTTTGCAAATTAAATTGCAATCTATCCATGTTGCACGCTGAGTTTAATTAATCTATATAAACCAAGGTCATATTGGATTTGTAGGAAGAGATTCAATCTTTTTGTTTCCATAATTGAAGTTAATGCATCGCAGAATCTCTCCAACCTAAGGACACGATGAAACGTCTCTCCAAAATCTGAGAACGATTAGTCACAGTTATGCGATTTATCACTTACATCATTTCTACATTTTAAACAATAAACTACATCGATTTTACAGCAGAACATCAATACATTTAAAACTGACATATTTTATAGATTGTCTCCTGCTTGAAAACAAATGATGGGTATTCAGCTCCTGAATTATTCCTGCATAGCTACCAATAATCCTGACTGCACTGAGGCAGTCCCAATGTCTAACTCTATCGATTTTCCAAAGTCCGTAAATGTAACTGGGAAGTCAAACTGCTGAGCTGATCCCATGGCAGGTGTGATCTTATAATAATGTCATATAGTGTGGGTGGATTTAATGAATGATGGAACCAAAAATGGCTGCCATGGTTTCTCAAAATGTACCATGGGAACATTATCTCATCCTTCTAACTGAATTGTGATTGGCAACAAGAGAGGTGGGCATATAATGTATCCAGTGACCGTTTGGATCCTGGTTTGTGCCCTACCTACCTCGATCCTTCCACTTAGCAGTCTGCCCTTGGATCTCTTCCCGGATATTCCTTGCTGTCCTCCATATTCAGCGATGGACCCGTGAGAGTGCACTTACTTTATCCATAAACAATTGGCTTTATTATACATTTTGTTTAATAATTACTTAAATATTTCTTTTCTTTTGGGAACTGATTTTTTTATTGTCAGGAGAGTGAAGCAGACACAACTTTCCTCTCTCTCTCCAACCAGTGCCAGAGTACGTATTTTATTCCGACACATATAGGAAATATAAATCATATGATCCTCCGCCAACTCTCCATTGAGCTTGCTGAACAGGATAGGATAATGAAGCTCTCAGATATAGGTTCTTCACCATCATCCAGACCTTCTAATAACAACTATGGCACAACAAATGTAGAGTTTACTGCGGGGTTTGCTCTGATATTGCTTTCTGCGCAGGCACTGCCTTCCTGCGGGTGTCACGATGCTCGCTAATGTTCTTTTACAGCCTTCAGAATAAATTGTCCTGCATTGCCTTCATGATACTCTGGTTTCAAACTTCAGGATATATAGATCCTGTATACTAGGCATTGCCAAAGATGTGCCCTTTTGATGCCCACCCACTGGCTCCAAACTCCAGGGAACATAGACGTGGATACAGTTACCAGTTTAAGGATATTGCCTCAGGCTGAAGGAAGGAAAAGGACACAGACTTTGGATGATGCCAGGGCACTTGCAAGTTTTTTTGCGGTTTCCTCCTGCAGTCATATCAAAACCAAAGCACTGCCAATTACCAACCCTGGCAAATTCTCGGTGTCTGGAGAGGGTTATACTTAACTTGAATGAAGACAGACTCATATCCTTGTAAGTATTTAGGTTAATATTCTGTAAATCATCAGCCAGTAAATGTTGGATCTGAACATTAACGTTTACCGACCGAGCAAACAAGGGGATCTGGAATACATTAAAACCCTATTACAAGTATAGCCCTCTTCCCGAAATTTAAATAATGACTAAGCCATTTATCAGCTCTAGAGCATAAAAGTAATATATGTTCCAACCCTTTCGGTGTCAGAGGGATGAGTCATGCCTTTCTTTGGCAGTAGTTGAGCACCCTTCTAACACAGAAAGAGTTAATCCCGTACTCCACGTGGTACGTGCCTCTCTGTCTGGAAGTCGTGGTCTATCAGTATTAACAATTTGTGAAACAATAGAAAGAGGCAGAGCTCTGTCCTACGTAAGGTGAAGCCCCACTTGTCTTAGGTCATTACTCTGCACTGCAGACTATTTATATACGTATATAGCAAATCACTGGGTGAATCCGTAGGAATAGACTTCTGCACAGAAAGAAAGTTCGGCTGGCCCAAAGCAATTCTCCCCAATTTAGAAGATTTTTCAGGATACCCTAATTTTGACAGAATTTCAAAACCAAGATTCCGATTGAGAAAAAACAGAACAGAAAGACCTGAAAATGGACCAATCGGGGCCCTGCAAAATGTCTCCATACTGTAACATAATAATATATAGAGTATGTATACACTGATAGCGGCCAATCGCTGCCCTGCACAATGTCTCCATACTGTAACATAATAATATATAGAGTATGTATACACTGATAGCGGCCAATCGGGGCCCTGCAAAATGTCTCCATACTGTAACATAATAATATATAGAGTATGTATACACTGATAGCGGCCAATCGGGGCCCTGCACAATGTCTCCGTACTGTAACATAATAATATATAGAGTCTGTATACACTGATAGCGGCCAATCGGAGCCCTGCACAATGTCTCCGTACTGTAACATAATAATATATAGTGTACGTATACACTGATAGCGGCCAATCGCTGCCCTGCAAAATGTCTCCATACTGTAACATAATAATATATAGAGTACGTATACACTGATAGCGGCCAATCGCTGCCCTGCAAAATGTCTCCATACTGTAACATAATAATATATAGAGTATGTATACACTGATAGCGGCCAATCGCTGCCCTGCAAAATGTCTCCATACTGTAACATAATAATATATAGAGTATGTATACACTGATAGCGGCCAATCGCTGCCCTGCACAATGTCTCCATACTGTAACATAATAATATATAGAGTATGTATACACTGATAGCGGCCAATCGGAGCCCTGC